TTTCCCCTTTGACAACTGAACCGCTCTCTCCAGTGGAGAACCCACCTCATTTGGTTGGAGAAGAGTTAAAACCACTCATCCCAACATCTACCCTTGCACTCAAACTCCCAGAAATGAGTCCTTTCACAAGCCTTGCCAGAACATTCCACTTGCTGGCCACAGTGATTGTTTTAGAGATGGGCACATGATCCAAGCTTGGCCAATGAGTTCTTGCCAAAATTTTTGTTAGAGCTCATAGGAAAACATGTTCTGTCTTCTGGCATTGTGAATTGTAAGGACAATCAGAGTCTGGGGCGGACAGTAAGGCCATCACTGCTACCACCTGAAGAAAGCCTGCCAGACAGTGAAACCAATACAGCAAAGAGTAAATCCAATAAAGGGAGAGTGGAGAGTCGGGGGTATCCTGGGGAAAGGCAGAGAGAGCCCAAGCCCTAAAGATATTTGAACATCCTGCATCTAGTCAGGCCTGAACCCACTGGAACTCCCACCTATGTGAACCAATCAATAGCTTTTCTGTGCACATTTCTGTCACTTAAAATCTAATGACTGCTAACAAATATGACAATTTTTGTAAGGTAAAGGTAGGCAGAGCAAGTGTTAACTATCCTTATTTAACAAAGAAGATACATGCTTAGAGAGGAATACAGAACATTTTGACCCTGAGGATATTCTGAAAAGCATTTTCATCAGAATAATACTAGCATTCATAAGTTTGCATTAAGTAACTAGCATTTACAGCAAAATTAAGCCAAAAGAACTTCTTGATCAATTTTTATAGAGTTTTTATTTTTATTTTATTTACAGTATTATTTTATAGTGATTTGATTTATCAATCGACATTTTTGGTCCATGTAGAATTTCACCACTCTGTTTTCCTTTGTGGCCATCAGCATGGATTGGTTATCAGAAAGATTGTGCTCTTTCTTCAGTATTAACCAGTAACAAAGTTTGCAGTATTGTAGAATTTTATTTTATATTGATAATTTCTAGTTAGTCTTTGAATTTTTATATGACTGATAGTTTTTATCTAATTCTTGGCTAAGCCATGAGAAAGATGGGCATTTTCCTCAAATATCTCAAGGCTGTTCTATTGTCAAGATCTTTACCAGTCTCAAAAATGCTTTTCTCAGTTACATATTTCAGGCATATTTGTGGTAGCCCTTCTTCTAAAATGTGCTTATGTTAATGAATATACACACTTTAGGACAATTAACTCTGAAATGGACTCACAATTCAAGGACTTGTCGCTCTGACGAAGAAGTTGGTTTATCAACAAGAAGCAGGGTTTATCAACAGCCAGCACTACTGACATTTCGGGCCAGGTGGTTCTTCTTTGTGCGGGGCTGTCCTGTGCGTTGTGGAGTGTTTAGCAGCATCACTGGCCCCTACCCACTAGACACCAGTAGTGTACCCTTCCTCTTGGTCATGACAATCAAGAATGCCTTCAGACACTCCCAAATGTCCCCTGCAGGAGGGGAATCACCTCTGGTTAAGAATAACTTTAGTGTCACCATTTTTTTAAAATATAAAAGTTAGACTCAAGAGAAAACCAAATATATCAGCACTTTCCAGGTTGGTCTGCATGCTCCTAATATGGGTCTTCCTAACAATTTATTAGGATACAACTGTTCCAGGATTTTACTGCTAAATTCTTTGGTATCTAAGAGTCACAATGTCCTCAGGGTCAAAATAGCCTGCTGCAGGTTCAAAGTAGTTAATAATTTCCCCACAGTTTAATACCTAGTAAATACAGAGCTAAGACTTGCACACACAATAGGTTTTCCCTTTACATCATTATTTCTCAACTGAAGCAGGAGTTCTGTATTTCCCTTCCCCAAAGTCATTAGTTCTGTTATAGCCCAAGGATATAATTTTAAAATCACAAAAACACATATGGATAGATGTTTATTGCACTGTTATTATATATTTAAAAATAGACAACCTGAATATCTAAGAATGGGAAACTGGTAAAAGAAATTATATGGGTAAATATATGAACTTAATGCCTAATTAAAATGATCATGTACAGCAATATTTATCACTATGTTAACACATTAACAACCATGGCTAAGAATAAATTATAAAACATACATGACCCTATTTTTAAAATGAAATATGTATTTATGTAAACATACAGTTTACAAAATCTGATAGTATTAACACAAAAAAGGTGACAATTATGAATTTGCACGGAAGGCTTGTTTTAGGGAATTTGTACTTTTCATTGTTCTACAATGAACATTCATTTCTTGTATAAAAAGTATTGATAAATATTTCTGTAAATAAACTTATCTCATACAGATAAAACTGTGAATCGCTTTAATAATGGTATAAGAGGACAGCATGAAACATGTCACAGTGGGTTTATGCAGAGTTATTTCCAGATTTTTCATTTGATCTTGATCTCTTGTATAACTGAGTCTGTTAAACATCGGAGCCCTACTGAACTCATTTGCCTTCATCTGTGAAAACACTACAGCAATCTTTATTGAAAACTCTTTGCAGTAGCTAACCTTGTCACTCTTTATTCCTCAAACCAAGGGACAATACAACTAACTGAAGTGCAAAGAGACATAAAGAATTTACAGATTATGGGTGCTTAGACTACCTAATAGCAAAGGATAAAAAGCAGTGGGTTTGGGGATTTTTTTTTTTTTAACAAAGTGACCCTGTCTTCCCTCTGCTTCTCAAGCTTTATAAAGCTCCTACCTTGAAAACCAACAAGGCAATTCTAGCCTCTCCCACTCCCTCTCTGTATGAACTGGAACATACGTCACCGAATGCTTATCAGGTGCACGGAGTTGACAGGCACAAAAAGGAATATAAAGATCAATAAGACATAATACAGTTCAGGAGAGAGAAGAATAGTAGATAATTTGTATCTATTGTTTAAGTACCTTGCTGCTCTTTTTCCAAACTACTAGGAAGCAAGGTCAACTACAAGCACAGAGGAGATGAGTTACTGGTCACATGTGTGAGTGCAGCTGAGAGCATCTTTCCAGCCTAAACTGTAATTAATTACGGCATGCTGCTATTTGTGGTTTACATTTGTCTGTGTGTGACCTCTGGTTCAAAATGGGACACTCCAACCTTGGTGGCCTATACTATGTCCCAGGGAAGCCCAGGGCTTGCCTTCTGCTTACCTGGCTCAAAGCTGTTCTCACTTGAGTCCAGATCTCTGGTGAGTTTCCACCTGCATTTATCCACAGTCCCTATACCTTCAACCTTGTGATCTTTGTGGCAGCAAGGCCAGTGGGGTTAACATCATTTACTTCTCGTGCTATCATCCTACCAAAGTCAATGACTGAGTCTAAGAAGTTAATACGTTGTCTGTAATATATTCATGACTCTCACATTTGAAGCAAGGCCTATAGTTTGATTTGCTGGACATAACACAAATTTTTAGGACATTTCTAATGTTTTTATAATTAACATGTACCACTCATGTACAAAGAACAATCTTTATTATTTTTTTAATGTTCACATGAATTAACCCTGCTCCATCAGCCTACCTACATAGTTGTGACAGTTCTAAACCTAAAAGGAACTGGCTTCACTTCTTCTAAAGCCAAGGAAACAAAATAAATCTCACATAGCTGAAAATATATGTACTAAAAACAATAAAGATGCCAACTTTTATTGAACATTAATATGTGCCAGGGATTGTATGAACTAATTAAATCATCACAACAACCCTATCAAATATACTGTCCTTATTCTCATTTTACAGTTAAGAAGACTGGAACACAAAATTAAGTAACCTACCCTCAAATACCCCTATCTAGACAGTACAGAAATGGGCTCCAACCCAGACTGTTTAACTCCAAAGCCCAAGTTATAGATTATGCTACACTTACTTCTCTTGACCTCTCTGCCTTCTAGGACAAAGGAGCAACAAACAAACAAAAAAATCAAAGAATAAAAAACAAACGAATACACAGTCAACCTAGAAGCATAATCACTGATAAAGGGGCAGATGCTGAAATCACCACAACTCTATACAGGAAAAAAAAAAAATTTCGTTCAATGGATGGAAGAAAGTATGAATGAATGAATGAATGAAACATAAAAGACTTAAACTCTCTCATTTCCTGTAGAAGAAAATTATTGGGGGCAACAGGAACAAGGAAACTAGCAACTTCATGGAGGAAATCTCTTTTCTAAGCAATAAAGACACTGACAAAATCTTGCCTAGCATCACTTTGCCATTCAAGAGGAGCAACAACATACATCCCTGACCTTAACCAGCACAAATGCTCTAAGTCCAGCACACACACAAAAAGACTCCTAAAACCAATTCAGGTAGAGCCAAGAAATACTGCGCTTAGAAATCAGAGCATGTGATTTGACTGTAGTCACTACTTAGCTGTGTGCTCTTCAGCAAGTCACTTTTCCCTTTTTGGGTCTCGGTTACCTCAATTGTAGAGACAGGGGTTTTAATTAAACCAAGTTGTGGGTTTTTTTCAGCTCTAAGATGATGTGAACCTGTGATAGATGAAAACTCCTGTAAAACTTGGAAAGGCTCGTGGACACATTTAAAACCTAACGATGGGTTCTTTGCCGAGAATGTACACTTCTAAGCTGCCACTAGCCCTGGCTGGAACAAGGCACAGACTGACTTCCAGGCCCTTGGGACTCAGCGAGCAAGGTCAAGTCTAGCTTTCAAAGCCCTCTGAGGGCTGCTGCATTAATCTCTGCGTGTACTATAATCCAAGTCAGAATTCCAAGGGTGAAAGCAACAGTGGGGGAAGAAGGACGCACTATTCCAGGTCATCAGAAATCTAAATTCAGTTTCCTCGGGGTACACAATGAGGCTCAGAGAGGGCAAGCGCGCAGCCCCGCGTTACACAGCAGTTAGCGACGAGGTGGAGACCAGAACCTCTATCCCCAGGCTCCCCGCACAGCGCTCCTTCACAAGCGAAGCAGCAGAGACGTGGGGGGAGCGGAGGAGCGCAGGGGCCCCGCGCGGACCGCAGGGCGGCGGGGGCGCCCGGGGTTACCTGTGTCGGCCCCCGCCCCGGCGTGCACCAGCCTGACCTCCGACCGCCGCGCGTCGCCGCCCGGCCGACCCCGCATCACCTGCCGCAGGAGCAGCCGCACGCGCCGCGCAGCCGGGCCGCCGGGGCCGCCGGGCGCCCCGAGGAGCCGGAGCCGGGACTGCATGGGGCCGGGGGCGTTGTCGGGCTCGGCGAGGGGGTCGGGGCGAACCGCGCTCCCGGCGGGCTGCGTGAGGCTGCGCGGCGTGGGGGACAGGAAGCAGCTCCGCGCCGGGTCCGCCGGAAACTCCTTCCCCCGGCGCGGCCGGCTCTGCGGTGTCGGGCCGGCCCCGCCCGGCCCGGCCCACGGGGGCAAAGGGAACCGGCGTTCGCCCTCGGAGGCCCGGCCGGAGCCGGCCGGGAGGAGCACCGGGCCGAGCCCTGGGCCTGGCCGGCCGCTCCGGTTCTCCCGCGGACCCTTGGCTCCGGGCCCGCGCGCTCGCCCTCTTCGCCCTCACCTGCGACTGTTCACCTGGGTTCCCCAGGCCGGCCTCTAGTCGTTCCCCGTAGTCCTGTGAATGCGGGGGAGTCCAGGAAATGCTTGAGGGTTCCAGGAGCATTTGAGGGTGTGACTCCTCAAATACTTATTCTAAGTCTTCGTTTCTTGGTTGATGGCCTAATCTTCTTATATTTCGCTTTGCCTGAACGCGGCTTCAAACCCCTTTTCAGAAATTGAGTACGTATTCTGGAGATTGTGGGAACTGACACCTGTCTGGATTCATTGTAACCGTACCTGTGTTTCCAATTAGTACCTGAGAGCCTTACCCTTTGTTAATTTTTAAAACGTGTATTATAACCATACCTTAAATTCTAATTGGAAAACACATCTTGGTGATATATAGAAATTACCATAATGTCAGAAAGGACCTAAATCAAGCACTTTTTCGATCATTTCTGCAGTTCAAGAGTTATGTAAACATACTTTATATCTTTAGTAAGTTAAAAAAAAAACCAACTAGATTATTAGCTAAGGCTGTCTCCCTGCATCCATACCAAAAGCAGAAATGGTCCTACCACAAAGCAAACTGAGCCTAATATAATTATATGGCATCTTCAAAATACCAGGAGTGAATTGACCAAGGCAAAATGCTTAAATCAAATTACACAAACATCAAACAGAATGCAGAAGGCTTCACTTTCAGCTAAAGGCCTTGTTAATTCTACAGCAGTTAGTATCTTTAAATATATACCAAGCACCTACCATGGGCATAACCCTGTGACTGGTGCTGAGCAGAAAGTGGAGGAGACAGTAAAAGAAAGAATCTGAACTGAGGAAGGCTGGTACATCTTGCTGAGGATTGGGCTTAACATGTTAAGGCTGAAACAGGCTTCTAACCTAGTTGGGGAGAAGGTGAAAATAAAGGTAACTGCATACTGTATTACAACATGGTTTCACATGTATGTTCTCATATAATCTTCACAACAGCCTTGAGACAGCTAGGCAAAAATGTAATAAATGTAGAATGTAACAGTTTACAAACTGATTCTCCCACTTTGAGTATATGCTATGTGGCAGGCATTGGGCTAAGTATTTTAATGCATTATCTCATTGAACACAGCAGCACTTTGACTGAGGTATTATTATTATTCCCCATTTTACAGATGAGGAAACTGAGGCTGGAAGAGTTAAATACCTTGGTCAGGTCATCTCCAATTAATCTTACTGGAATGCAGAAAAATCTTCCAACAGTGGAAAAACAATGGGAGGTAATTGAGCAGAATGATTGGTGAAAGCACTAAGAGCTCTTGGAGTTGAGATACTGGGAATACAGTTTACAACATTCAGTCATTCAACAACATTTACTGAACAACTATGGGATAAACAGTACCCTGCTAGGTACTGGGTAGCAATGGACTCACATCAAGTATAGAAGAGAAACATATGCATAAAGAATTACAACACAATCAGGCATATGTTTAGGATATTTAGACTCAGAGTACTCTGGGGCAGAGTGCTTTGGCTAGGAGAGATCAGGGAGGTTTCACAGGGAAGATAATGCTTGAAGTGCTTCTTGAAGGATATGCAAGAATTTTTCAGGCTGAGAAAAGGGTACGTCGTATCTGGCAGAGGGAAGAGCAAGTACAAAGGTACAGAAAGCTGAAGTGCGTGGCAAGACTGACTCAGAAAGTGGTTCACTGTGTCTAAGGTCAAGTACTTAAAGTAGTTTGTAGAGATAAGACCAGAAAGAGAAAGTGAGGCTATGTGGTATTGGAGGGGAAAGAGCTTGCACATTAACCTTCAGGAAATGGGAAAATAGTGAGCATTTTTTAGAGTGACAGATCTGCAATGTGAAGGAGAAAATTGAGCCAGAGAAAAAGGTAGCACATAAGCTTCCCTTTGAATGCTAGTTTAGATTTGGATACACAAAGAAGACTGATAGAAAGCATAGAGTCCTGAAAAGCATGATTAATTTATAGAGACAGTGAGACCAGCCAGGTGAGAGGGCTATCTTTGGAGAGTGGGAGAAGGTATTGTCAGAGAAAGAGGAAAAGATTATAAAGAATCTTGAATGGCTGGAGAATCTCAAATGAAGAAGTTGGACTTCATCTTATAGGCAAATTGGGTCACCACTAGACAACCCAATGGATCATATTTGATCAATTTGATCATAGTTTAAGCAGTGACATGAACTATGAATTGAGTAAGACAGGAAGCATCAAGTTCTAACTATGTGGAAGTCAAAAAATTCTCTGCTTGAAACAAATGGACCCCAGTGGTGGCAGTGAGGCGGAATGAACCAGATGATATTTGGTTTGAAGAGATAACCGTCATAACCTCTCACTCAAATTCTCACTAAAATAGTACTTGGGATAAACCACACTGCCAAAATCTGGTATTTACTGTTAAGCTTTCCCCAGAGTCTGGGAGGAATGTTTCTTACCTGCCACATTAATGTAACTGGATGGAAAGTGCAATTAATAATCTATCCATGCTACATCCAATTAGAAGAAGGTAGTTTCTCCATCCCTCCTTACTGCTCACCCTACTGAGTAATCAAAGGTCCGTGCCATGGTTCCCAGACCTCAGCGTTCACCCTGGTCACCTGGACAACTTGTTAAAATATCAACTCTCAGGCTTCATTCCCTACCCCTGTCCTGAGATTCTGACTCAGTAGGTCTGAAAGGGCCCAAGAAGATGCATTTTCAGCCACAGCTATAGGAGATATATACTTACCACATATTTCAGTTACAAAGCTGGACAACAGTTCTTTCTGTTGCTGTTTGGCTACTAAGTTTGCCCCACCTCTTTATCCTCTTCAACACTTTGTAAAAAAAATACATAAGTACTCTTCCTCATCCACAAGCAACCAGAAAAAAAAAAGATATAATAAACTGAGCAGGGAATTGCAGAAAAGAGGAAAGAGAAGAACAGATGATGGCCCTTTTACGTCATAAAATGTTTTTAGACCAGGACGCTGGCAGGAAAAGAGAGAGGGAGGAGAGATGTGTGAACTAGTGGAAACTCTCTCACTGCAAAACACCTAATAATGCTGGACAAAATATTTTGAAATTCCATTTAAAATGAATTTTTAAACTTATATGAAAATAGGAAAAATTCTCTAAAACCAGGAATGAAGCTGGAGGAAGAGTCTGGGAAGGTAAGGACACACTGAAGGTGCTGGCTGCCCTAGGGACATCTACCTTCCTTGGTGTCCATGGCTGTCGGGGCACCAACAGTGCAGGGAGTAGACTGAGGACCCCAGCATAAAACCAGAACTGACAAAGGACTACACAGTTAGCTAAATGGTAAACTATGGGAAAAAATTGCAAAGGGAGACAGCAAAAAGTCACATCTGTCTGCTTGATTCTAGGTAGAACTGTTTCTTTTTTCCCCTCTAAAAATTGTGGCTTTCTACTTGGAACTCAGATGAGTTTAAGGCATGTTACAGTATTTGCTTGTTAGGAAGAAAAATATAAGCCAATAATTTTAATCTAACATGGATTCAGTAAATGTACAGGGTATTTGAACAGTGCAATTAACAAGTTTTATTTGATGAATATACAAAAAAGTAAAAAAAAAAAAAAAAGCAGCAGTTGAAGAGTGTTCACTATTTGCAAGAACAAGTCCAGCATTAGAAATGGGTTCTATGAAAAGCCATGAAGCAAGTTTCAACACAAATCAAAGAATAGAGGACACTGTTTCTCAGTTTACTGCAATTAAATGATAAATCAATTTTATGACAAGTAAAAAAATAGATATACTTCTATGTATTTATGGATCAAAGAAGAAAAACTAGAAATCATTTAGAAATGCACAACAATGAAAATATTTCCTATTAAATCCTGTGATGTGGAGTGAAAGCCATATTGTGCTTAGAGCCATAAAATGAATAGGCTAATTTTCAACTTAAGAAATTTAAAAAAGAATAATAGATTAAATCCAAAGAAAGTTGCAAGAAGGAATAAGAAAGACATAAACAAAAATTAATGAAATGAAAAAAAAAGATGAGAGAAAGAATCAACTAAGACAAAAGTTAGTTGTGTGTGTAGACTAATTTTTACAGCAGAAATCCAAGAAACTCAATAGAAAGGTTAAACGATAAAGTCGGATAAATCCCCCAGAAAGGGGAACAAAAGGACTAATAAAAGATTTCAAAGTTAGAGGATCAGAAAGAAAAGAAAGAAAAAAGGAAGGAAGGAGGAAAGGAAAGGAGGAAGGAAGGAAGGAAAGAAGGAAGGAAGGAAAGAAGGAAGGAAGGTAGGTAGGAAGGAAAGAAAATGAAAGGAAATCATTGTATATTTAGTCCTGCAAAACTAATATCTCATTGCTATTGTAATTTGTATGACTTTGAATACCAGTGATGATGAACATTTATTTATAAGTTTTAAAGTCATTTGTATTTCTGAACTGTCTAATTCTCCTTGTATTTTTCGAAATATTGTTTTGATTTTAATGACTTTCTCCATATTAAGAATATTAACACTCTTTCAGTAGGTTGCCAACACAGTTCCATTGCTTTTCCCTTCCTCTACATCCTCTGTACTTCTGCAGCTCAAATCCTCAAATACTTGTAAGCAAACAAGTTGAACTAAAGAAGAAATGTGAAATTGGAAGACTATGGGCTTTGAAATTAGGCGAATCTGGGCCGCAGTCACACTTCATCACTTCTAGTTGTGCATCACTGGGCAAATTACCTAGCCTTTCTGGCCCTCAATATCCTCATCTGTGAAACAGAAATAATGATTCTCAATAGGGTGTTATGAGGACTTAATATATGTAAAGTA